ATGACTGCACAACCCGGGTGGCAGCAAACACGGACAGCCACGGAGGTTGTCGATGGTCTCAAAGACACATTCGCGGGTGTCAAAGGCTGCCTCGTGGGCCTGAAGGCATCGGTCGTAGGTTCTGACGCGGTCTCGAGCGTCAAAGAGTCGCTCGCGGGCGTCAAAGAGACAGTCACAGGCGTCAAAGAGTCGCTCGCGGGCGTCAAAGAAGCGATCCCGGAGATGATGGTCAAACTGACGCACACTGAGCCAATGATAGACCTGAGGCTAAAAATTGACGAAATTAACTACGACCTTTCCGACATGGCAGACCACCTGCCTAATGTATCTCACGCCGTGTCCAAGGTCAAGAAAGCCGTCTGGGACACAAAGAAGTTTGTGAGGCCCGCCATGAAGAAGCATATTGACTGAGCCTCCCACAAGGTTCACTCGAGGAGAGAGCGGGGCTCCGGGGGAGAACCACGCTCCGAGGCAGAACCACACTCCGGGAAGGGGACCACACTCCGGGGAGGGGACCACACTCCGGGGAGGGGACCACACTCCAGGGAGGGGACCACACTCCGGGGAGGAACCGCACTCCGGGGAGGGGACCACACTCCGGGGAGAGGACCACACTCCGGGGAGAGGACCACACTCCGGGGAGGAACCGCGCTCCGGTGGGTGTGAGTCCTCGCTCCGGTGGGTGTGAGTCCGCGCTCCGGTGGGTGTGAGTCCGCGCTCCGGTGGGTGTGAGTCCACGCTCCGGTGGGTGTGAGTCCGCGCTCCGGTGGGTGTGAGTCCGCGCTCCGGTGGGTGTGAGTCCGCGCTCCGGTGGGTGTGAGTCCGCGCTCCGGTGGGTGTGAGTCCGCGCTCCGGTGGGTAGGAAACGGCGGTCCGGTGGGTGTGAGCCCGCGTGTGCAGAGCGTGGCTCGCACGCGTGTGCAGAGCGTGGCTCGCGCACGTGTGTAGAGCGTGGCTCGCACGCATGTGTAGAGCGTGGCTCACGCACATGTGTAGAGCGTGGCTCGCAGGCGTATGTAGAGCGTGGCTTGGCCGCGTATGTAGAGCGTGGCTCAGGTGCGCGTGTAGAGCATGGCTCTCACGCGTGTCTCGAGCGTGGCTCTCATGCGTGTGTCGAGCGTGGCTCTCGTGCGTCTGTCGAGCGTGGCTCTCACGTGTGTGTCGAGCGTGGCTCTCACGCATGTGTCGAGCGTGGCTCTTCCGCGTGCGCAGAGCGTGGCTCTCCCGCGTGTGCAGAGCGTGGCTCTCGCATTTGAACGCGGGTTCACACCCACCGAACCGCCGATTCACACCCACCGTAGCACGGGTTCACACCCACCGGAGCGCGGGCTCACACCCACCGTAGCGCGGGCTCACACCCACCGTAGCGCGGGCTCACACCCACCGTAGCGCGGGCTCACACCCACCGTAGCGCGGGCTCACACCCACCGTAGCGCGGGCTCACACCCACCGTAGCGCGGGCTCACACCCACCGTAGCGCGGGCTCACACCCACCGGAGCGCGGGCTCACACCCACCGGAGCGCGGGCTCACACACCACCGGAGCGCGGGTCCACATCCACCGGAGCGCGGGTCCACATCCACCGGAGCGCGGGTCCACATCCACCGGAGCGCGGGTCCACATCCACCGGAGCGCGGGTCCACATCCACCGGAGCGCGGGTCCACATCCACCGGAGCGCGGGTCCACATCCACCGGAGAGCGGGTCCACATCCACCGGAGCGCGGGTCCACATCCACCGGAGAGCGGGTCCACATCCACCGGAGCGCGGGTCCACGTCCACATCCACCACAGCGCAGACTCACACCCACGTAATTTCACTTATATTTTTTTTCGTTCTCTTGCAATGACTGGGCCTAAACACCACCAGACAATCAACATGTTTATTGCAGCAGTCGAAGGGAGTCTGCGCTCCGGTGTGTGTGAGTCTAATAAAAGTGGATAACCTGATATAAATATTGTGTAGCTTATTTTTTTCACTTTAAGATGAATTAAGGCTTTAGCCCTGTTTTTATTTAACTTATCTTGTAAGTCATGAATATAGTTTACCTGCACAACACTCTTTGGATTTCCGACCAACTTATCTCTTAAGATGGTTAGTGGACTTCTCACCTCATGGCCAAAAACTAATGAGTTGGGTGAACACCCCAGGCACTCTTGATAAGTATCCCTCAGTGCCATGAGCATCAGTGGAAGACCATCATCTCAGTCTCTGCCAGTTTCCATGCAACTGGTTCTCAGCATTTGCTTAAGGATTTGGTGCATCCTTTCCAAAGCACCTTGGCTCTCCGGATGGTAAGCAGAGGATGGAAGATGCCAAACTCCTCAAAAAACTGCTGAAAACCTTAGGAAGTGAAATTAGCCCCATTATCTGTCTGTATTACTTCTGGTAAACCAGAAATAGTACAAAATTTCATTATGTGCCTTACTACCACTTTCGTTGTAGCATTTCTCACAGGGAAAAAGCACGATTCGTGTGCGTCTTTCTGAAGAGTCCAGCTTTTCCAAGCATACAGGTTTCCCTTGCAGGACTCTTACTTTTTCTAAGTAATTTGCAGTCTGTTGGTCTTGTGGTGTCATTATTATTTCTCCTTTCAGGTTGACTGTGATGGAAAGTTTGAGCTCTGGTTGTTCTTTTTCCATTGCCGTTACTACTCCATATGCTGTAGGAAAGTGGTCTGTCTGCATTATCTTGAATTTTGGAAGATGTACAGAGTCTGGCGATGTCTGGTGTGAGACTAGTGGTGTCCTCTCCTGTCTCATACTGTCGTCCTGTGACTGGGCTGTGGAGAGAGGCACATTGTCTGACACTAGCTGGTGTGAGACTGGTGCTGTCCTCTCCTGTCTCATACTGTCGTCCTGTGGCTGGGTTGTGGAGAGAGGTACACTGTCTGACACTGGCTGGTGTGAGACTGATGCTGTCCTCTCTAGGTCCATTACGTCTGCTGTCTTGCTAGTAGAGGCACGTGGTGAGGCCTCGATAGCAGTTCTCTTCGGTGCCTGCTGCACCTCGGTCCACCGTCCCTCTTCGTTTGAAAGCTGCCTCCATTGCCTCTTTCTATTCGACTTCCCCATGACTCTCCACGTAGTGAGGACCGAATCACTGCTCTACCTAATGCCTGAGACACTCCTAGGCCTGGAGAAATTCATTCCCCTCCAACGGAGGTCGTAGAATGATTCCCCCAGGTGGAATCAGGGATACCTAACACCTAAATGAGCTGTTGGGTCTACCTTTCCCTGTCAGGCTCAGTCCACCTTCTAAGGTGCCCCCTTGTGGCGCTGCCCGCAGGGTATCGCCTCGCCCTTCAGGGTAGGACTCTAAGTGACCTGGTCAGTGATACGGTCCTCACACACACACACACAATATTATCGGTCATGGGCGCCGAGAGTGCGGTTCGAGAGTTCGGGTCGCCTGCTACTGGGTTGTGCAGAATACCAGTCAGCTGGACAGCAGGTAATCAACAAGAGTTGTTTCTCTATCAGTTGCGGACGAAATCGGAATTGTTTCTTTCTAAACAAGATATTGTCTGGGTCTTGGAGTACTGATGTATTCTTCCTCACAAAACCGCGATGATTTGAGCTGATGGGTGCTCAGAATCGTAAGTTTTTCTGGGAACAAATCCGTGTCCGACCAGCTCGCAATGGCGCTGCCAGCGAATCTCTCTGGCAACACTGATTGATAAAGATTAAGCCACCCAAGAAGTGGCACGGGCATGAATAGCCCGTAAGTGGTGGCCCTTTTGAGCCATTACCAGTATCAAGAGATGATACTGGAGATCCGTGGAGGCGCGACTGCACCCTGCGTGACGGGAGATGTCTCCCAGACCAAATGATGACCAAATGGTCCCTGACAACACTGCTACTGGGCTCTATAAATTCTACATTTGAAACTGTGTATGAAATCAGCCTCCACCACATCACTAACTAATGCATTCCATCTGTTAACTACTCTGACATTGAAAACAATTCTTTTAATGTCTCTGCGTCTCATTTGGGTTTCCACCTGTGTCCCCTTGTTCATTTTTTAAATTTTTACATTTTGCCCCGAGGGGCGAGTTTATTGGGCAGCACCACTCATCCTGTGAGTGGACACACCTCCATAGCAGCATGTACAACACTCCCCAATAGGAAGAAAATCCGCTGGGATGTTCCTCCTGTCACTTGTACCCAGACACAGCTGGGACTTGCTTAACTGTCTCAAGTGAACAGCTCCTCAAACAAGAAGATTAACATTTATCAACCCTTAAAAGCTTACGTTATCTTGCGGGTGCAAAATGGGGAAATCTTTTAAGAACAGTATCAATATTTGACAAATAGTGTTTTCCTAACTCAAACAATGTGGGGTGCATTATTCTATACGTACTTCTGATGTCTCTCAGGTGTTCACATTCACGTAGATAGTTCATGTTCCACTCGTGTGTTCCATGTTCCACATGTTCCATATCCCATGAATCATGGTGTCCATATGGCCATTCATTCAGCTAACAGTCAAAGCCAACTGTTCTTAACTTGACTGAGTGACATGTACTTCATGCAGGGTTCTAGCAATTAGCTTTATCCAGCGTTATTTTGTGTTTGACGAGATATGGACTGAAGATGCTGGTGCTGCACAACTGATAATTGGTCTGACGTACAGTAAACAGACTTCTGTATACACTATATGTAAAATGTTTCGTCCAAAGCCAATTAACAATGTGTTTACCTTACATGCAAAATTAAACCATGGTCTCGAATAATGCCAATGGCAAAATGTAGATAGATATGTTATATAAGCCCTAATATTAGGACGTGCACATTAAGGATTTAAATTTACAGATAAATTGATATACGAAAGAAAGAAAACTACATATTCCCCTCATGAAAATTACATTGCAATAATTAAACTGCCTTTAAGAGATGGAATTAGAGATACATTAAGAGTAAGTTAAGGTAAATTAAGGGGATGTTTACCAGGTACAAAATAACCGGTTGACGGGAACCTTTAGCGGCGGCGTCGGGCGCGCCATCTGTCGGGGAGCGGCAGAGTTGGTGGAGTTGACGAGAAGTGGGTCGATGGAGGCGGTGTGTTGCCCACTCAGGTCCTCAACAATGTAAATATTGGCTGGTGATGTGTGTTTGAGCCTCGCTCCGCCTCCGGTCCGGTGTGCACCTACCTTGTGCTGCTCAGAGACCACGCCGCCACAACACCGACACCAATGTATAAGCAACTACAAATGGGCCTTCGTGCGTTCCTGCTTCTGGCTCAGAAGATCTGGAGTTTCGTGTGCTATGTCCTTCGGAAACAGGCCAGAACGGTGAGTGTTGGTGGTGCAGGTGACTGCCTGCCCCACACGCTCCTCACACGCACACATACACCTCCCCTTGCTCACAGCCTTCACTCATACCCCGCCGCCGGGTACCAGGGTACTGGAGCCCGACGCGGGTATGAGGTCATCTCGGGCTTTCATCCCCCCCGCACACTTCCCAAGTCATCGGGGTACTTGTAAGACGGTGGTGTCGACCCCGTCTTGTGGGGAGCCTCTAGGTCTTGTGGTGAGTGGAGACTAATGTATACTGTCTCTAGTACTCTTGGTACTCTTGCCCCTTAGGGGGGTGGGGGGGGGGTTAGGCAAGGAATGGTGTGATCCAAATTGTGAAAACAGCTCAATTGTTTGGTTTTACAATCCATTGATGAACAGGTTTTGGTACGAAGTGATTTATGTGGTTAGTCGCCTCGTACACAGGACTGCTAGGGGGGGGGGGGTCTTGGTCAACTTTATATAATAACCGTTCAACAACGACTTTTTTTTTATTACAACAACATATTCTAAGTTAGGAATTGTTAGGCTCGGGTTAGGTTTCAAAATTTGGTGGCAGTGTTGTATGTGTGTGATCTAATTTTATGTAAACAATCAACACACTCGTCCCTAAATTGTCGTCGGCCAGGTGAACCTTTGCCTCAATACACACACACCCATAATCAGCAGCAGCTAGGCCTATCTCCTCCAATACATAACTTCTTTTGTCCATGGCCAACTGCCACTGACAACACTCTTGATCTTATTCAGTAGCAAACTAGGCCTCCAGTTGGAGAGAGCCACACTGTATTCACCGAATATTTACCCGAATTTACGTGAGTGGTCACCATCTCGAGTGGCTTTAGCAGGTATAAGGTCAAAGGTCCCCAAATTGTCCTTGAATTTTTATTCCAGCTTAATTTTGAACTAGAATTGTCATGGCATTTGTCGCTTTGGCCTTGTTGACCCCAGGAGGCCTGGTCGAGGACTGGGCCAGGGGGACGTTGAGCCCCAAAATTATCACAAGGTAACTGCAAGGCAGGTAGGCCATTCCATGGCTTTATAACCCTATAGGTGTTAAAGCAGCTCTGGTGTTTTGTCCTACACTGGCTTGGTGAGCTTGAAGCTGTTACCATCCATATGAGTTACATGTGACCTTGTAAAGAAGTGTTTGGATCAACATCCTCCAACTTGTTGTTATAAAGGTCTCGATGAGATCCACCCCATCATGTTTGGGTTGCAGTGTTAGTCCTGAGAGTTGACTTCTGAAATGATTAGTGTTTTGAACTGAGCTGTTTCAAGAGCAGGTAATGGTATGTCCTTTTGAAAGTGAGATACTCCTTTATCATGCACATCTAAATGTGCTTCTAGATATTAGTGTCACCTGTCTCCCCCTCCGGAGAGCCACGGAAAGGAGGAGGAATCTCCCACCAAGGACCTCTAGCAAGTCAGTAATATACTTGCTCCATATTCTCATTAGCTTACATGCAGATGATGAGATGGGTCAGCTTGGAATTTTTTGTTCCGAGTAGCTGAATCTAATTCGACAAAGAATCATCTCGCCTCATTTGAGTTACAGCTCAGATCATGTGTCAGGTAAGTCCACTATGGGCTCACCATAGCCCATGCTACTTGGAACGTTTTGTTCCAAGTAGCTGAATCTAATACAACAACCACCACTACCACCCGAGGACTACATAATAAAACATTGTGCAAGGAGCCTATGCTTCGCTTTCCAATTTCAGAATTGCTTTTAAGTACATGAATGGTGAAATACTGAGGAAATTGTTCACAACCTTTGTTAGACCAAAGCTGGAATATGCAGTGGTTGTATGTTGCTCATATCTTTAGATGCACATCAAAAAATTGGAAAAAGTGCAATGACATGTAACTAAATGGCTTTTGAAGCTGAAAAACAAAAGCTACGAGGTTAGTTAGTCAAAAGTTAGGGGCATTAAATATGCCAAAACTAGAAGATAGAAGAATGAGGCGATATGATCATTGTGTACAAAATAGTAACTGGAATCAACAAAATTTAAAAAGAAAAATTCCTGAGGCCTGGAACGTAAAGAACAAAGGGTCATAAAGTTAAACTGACTAAACAAAGCTGCCAAAGAAATATAAGAAAATTGACTTCTAAACAGAGTGGTTGTGAGGGCATGAGATTGAAAGCCATACTCTTGAGTACGAACTCACGAAACCCGTCCTTACTTTCATATTTACAGTATAGGTAATTTACTTTAAACCAGGGATGTAGAACCAATATGCATTTATAAACACTTCAAACACAAGAATGACCATGTGGGCCCGGTACCATATTTTTGAATTGGTAGGACTCTAGAAAAAATTAAAGTGCGTGTATTACATTTATTTAAACACAGGAAGAGTGTTAATACACTAACAAGGAATAATTTCAAACTCACCAGACTAACAATTACAGTTCCAGACACTGATATAAATTGAGGTCATTAACCTCACACAGTGAGGTGAGTACCTCACGAACACACACCACACAACCTGTGTGTGTGGAGCCTCAGCCCTCTCTGTCTCATGGAGTGCACGGGACGCTCCTCTCACGAAAATGCGCAGGAAAACTTTACACACAAAATCATACTCATTTACTAATACATATTCTCAAACACAAACAAAACATAAAATTTAACACAAATAAAACAAACTCATATTTTATCTAGGAGAAATGTTTACATTAACAACCATAAAAGCTAAACTTTATATACTGCACCAATAGGTATATAAAAAAGGTATATTATATACATGGTAGACGGTTGGGCCAAGTAAAGTAAGAAGGTGGTGGAGGCCAAAACCGTCAGTAGTTTCAAAGTGTTATATGAGAGTACTGGGAGGATGGGACACCATGAGCGTAGCTCTCATTCTGTAGCTACACTTAGGTAACTACAGTACTCCAGATGAAGGCACACCAGACATTTATAAAGTTGAATAATCAACCATTTTTTAATGTTTATGCACAATAGGCGTTAATCTTATACAAGCCTTATAAATAAACTGTTCAGACAAATATATGTGAATGCAAAGAGGGCTATTGTGTATCATAAGATCATAAGCTTTTGATGGTTTGTATAAATGTTCACCAAAGCTGTAACATTCATTGGGTATCCTACCAGCACATCTCAGCATGGGCTAAAGTAAAGGTGTTCCATTTGCCATAATGGTTAATACATTCCTCTGCCAAGATTGCCATTTTGTAGTTATTGCAGCCTCTGCAGTGGCTTTTTATTTATATATACAGTGGCCCCCTCCATTTACGAATTTGATCCATTCCCAGAGACGGGTCGTAAGTTGAAAATTTGTAACTCGAAACGAAGTTTCCCATAAGAAATAATGTAAATTGAATTATTCCGTTTGGAAGACAGTGAGGAGGGGGGGGGGGGGGGAAGGAGAGGTGTTAGTGTTTGGAAAGGGAGTCCACCTTCCATCATAACAGCAGTGATGACATTTGTGGGGTACTCTCTCTACTGTGTTTTGCAGGAGTACTATTAGGACCTGGTTGTGGCTCACTGTTTGCTTGTCTTATTAAGAATCTGTCTTAAGACACTTGTTTTCTCTACATTTTAACACTTGTCTATAGTGAGACATCACATTGCCATTTAACAGGTCAATGCAATGGCCTGCTACAGCTTTATATGGGTGAGTTTTTTCAACAAAACTTTGCAGTTCTTCCCATATTTCACACATTTTCTTAATGAGAAAGGGACATCCTCTACTGCCTCTACTCACAACTATTTTCTTAGGTTGAACCTTACTACTGACTTTCTTGGGACCCATGGCGAGATATACAGTGGAACCTCGGTTCTCGTAGACCCCTGTTCTCGCAGTTTGCGGTTCTCGTAGTAAATTTCTTGTTTCGGTTGTCGTAGTAAATTTCTTGATTCGGTTGTCGTAGTAAATTCCTAGATTCAGTTGTTGTAGTTGCCTCGGGGGTCGTAGTTTGTATATACACGTACGGGTCCACTGCGAGTGTGGCACTTTAGTTTACCAGTCTCCCACCTAGTGATGATCTTAGATTCTTTGTGAAGAATTTCATTGTTTTGTGCTTTTTTGGTTTCTGAACATGAAAGTTCTTATATATCATGCCATGAGTTATAAGAAAGTCAGTGGTAATGTTCAACTTAAGAAAAGTTATGAGGATGATGATAGAGGAAAAACAAGAGATCATGCATAGTGAGACGATGTGATGCCTCACTACAGACAAGTGTTAAAACATAAGAAAATATAAGTGTCTATAGACAGATTCTTAGCAAGACAAGCAAGCAGCAAGCCACAACCAGGTTCTAGTGGTATGCCTGCAAAACATGAGAGAGTACCCCAGAAATGTCATCACTGCTGTTATAATAGAAACTGATTCCCCTTCTAAACACTAACACCTCTCCTCCTACCCCCCCCCCCCTCCCCTCTCCTCTCCTCACTGTCTTCCATACACCAACAAGAGTCCCCAATAAAGGGAAGGTACCTAAGAGTATTATTCTGTATGAAATCTATTTTTTAGTTAATATTTTTGGTAGTGTGGAACAGATTAATTTTATTCATTTTATTTCTTATGGGAAAATTCATTTCAGTTTTTGTACCGTCTCTGGGAAAGGATTAACTACGAAGACGAAGGTACCACTGTATATAATAATTACTTTTATGTTCAAATACCCAAAAATCCGAAAAACACTGAAATTATTTCAAAGAATTCAAGCGCGATTGTCAGTAGGTGGGAGGCACTGGTAAACTGAGGTGTGGTCGCCGTGCCACCACGCGCTAGGTCGGCCATACATGTATCAACAAACTATAGTACCCGAGGCAAAGTTCGTAACCCGATTCGGATTTTATGAAGAAATTTGGCTCGTAACCCAAAAAGTTTGTGAACAGGCATTCATAAGCCGAGGTGTCAAAATAAATAAATAAATAAATATATATATATATATATATATATATATATATATATATATATATATATATATATATATATATATATATATATATATATATATATATATATATATATATATATATATATATATATATAAATATATAATATATAAATAATTAAAGCCACTGCAGAGGCTGCAATAACTACAAAATTACTACAAATAAATATAAACTGTATTGTATCATAAGATCGGGAAAAAGCTAAACGGATTTTAAAACCAGTCATGAAAATAACTGGCATTGTTTTATCAATAATACTGTACAGTATCTGATACACCACAGTCCTTCAGCCTTGTCCTCCAGTGTGTTTATCATCCATAGGTTAGATAACGGTATCAGAGTTCATATTTCACACTACTGTATATCTTTTATGTATAAAGTTTTTAACCTTTTTTTTTATTTTTTTTTTAAACACTGCATTCATTAATAGTATACAGTATGCTTGAGGTTCATTACTCTGAATGCCACATTCTCAATAAACTGTTTTGATGTGATCACCCCTCATGCTGATCTGGGTATGATTGTATTATACAGTACAATATATCTCTAGATTGTGTGTTACATTTTGTATCACCTAAAGTTAAAGTTGACTGTAGGTTTACCTAGGTTAATTGTGATGAACCAACCATCAACTGAAAAAGTTTTTTTCATTAAGATTGCAAGTACAGTATAAGCTTCTGTGAAGAAAAGTTGTAAGGAGTATTATTCTCTGTCATAAAATTAAACATGAACTATCCTGATCAAATCTACTCTGCATTTCTTTTTGCATTGTTTTTGATCGGATTGATTTGCTTATGATTGAAATATGGAATCCTGTACATAATTTACTGATAAAAAAATTATTCCACTGAAAATTGTAGAGAATATAAATTCAGAGAGAATGTATGCTGATGCGTTAAGGCATAGCCGAGGGAAAAATTGGACTCGTAACACAGGTGAAGCATCCTTAACATTTAAGTAGGATTTAGCCACAAGGAGGATTCAAACCCGCTCACTTGGTATCCCCCAAGCTAGCACCCTAGACTATTACCCCACGACACGGTAAAAAACAATGCAATGTGGGATTCAGCTGAATCCACTAGGAGTCTCAAGGCTCCCAACTGAAGGCCAAACTTGGGGTTTCACAAACATTGCCCCCCATGTCAGGAAAGGGGGGCAACTTTAACATTCAAGGTAAATTGAAAAAGGTTCTGTTGATTTTTGGTGTTTTGGGGAACACATTTCTCGTAACATTGGGTCTATGGGAACTCTGGCTTTGAGCTACAAATGGCAGACTTGGGGACACATGCCTAATACTGCTCTGTATGGCAAGGTGGTAAGGGGCTGATCATCATAGCATTAATCCGTTTCTTTCCTGAACATGTTTAGATGTCTTCCACCATTGAATATTATACTGTATTTGAAAACATAAAAATAGTAATTTAGAACTTCATAAAAAAAATTGTATGAAAAAATATTATAAAATTATATTATAGTTTCTATCATATGGAGTCTGGTGATTTCACAGTTAAGCTCAGAAATGATTTTTGCTATTGACAGCATGTGTCAGAATTGGTGTTTATGTATGTGTTATAATAACACAGTGGTTACACATTACTGAGGAATTATTATATATTGTAAATCTAATTGTCTTTATTAGAAATCACTAATGTTTTATTTATATATTGACACTTAATAATTTGTTGGTTTTGATTGACTAGTTATCTGTTAGTTATATGTAATTGGTATGATAAGAGGCGATTCTGCCAACATTGAGACCAAACCTTTTCAACACTCCTTCTAAACATAGTGGGCATAAATAGCCAACCTCTTGCTGTATTGAAGAGAGAACTTGATAAGCACCTACAAAGTATACGTGATCAACTGGGCTGTGACTCAAATTTCAGACTGCAAGCAGCTGCCTCAAACAGCCTGGTTAACCAGATCACCAACCAGGAGACCTGGTCAGAGACTGGACTGTGGGGACATTGATCCCCAGAACCAGCACAAGATTGAAGGCAGAAGTATATCTTGATAACCTGAGTACTGTAAATGACTTACCTGCTTGATGGAGTTCTGGGAGTTGTTCAACTCCCCAAGCCCGGCCCGAGGTCAGGCTCGACTTGAGAGGTCACATGTTAGGACCTCTGAAAGCATGCCATGTTGGGTGGGCATTGGAATTATATTAATCTTGTGAGCAACCGGTACAATGCATTTATTAAATTTCCCAAAGAGAAGAAAGGCTCTGGAGCTGAAGTTTGGCCATGTAAATGTTACTGAACATTTGAAAACCAAACATGCACCCACAAACACCTGTCACATTTGTTCTTCCTTCTGTTTTTGTGTATATTCTAAAATACAATATTGACTGGGGTAAAATTGTTAAAAATCTTTTTTATTGGTATAATCCCAGCTCTTTCTTTTCCAATAATCTGACATAGTACCATTCATGTTTTAATAAATTTCTCCTAATACCCACTGAAAGTTTATGTAAATATTTTAAAGTGAAATGCCAATTACAGTAGCATAAGTAAAAGATCATTAACATTGCTTTTATAGTTTAATTTATTTGCAATTGATCATAATTACAATTCAATAATTTAACTGGCTACCTGTATAATGATGCATTTCTTGTTATGCAAGCTACAGCACTTACAATGAGGCACTGTAAATGTATTATTGCCAACAGGTTTTGCAGTACCAGCCAGTCAAGTACGAAGTGCTGCCGCTCTCCCCTCTTTCTAAACACCGGCTAAGTGAGTAGTCTTGTTAACTTTAGTCTTGTTAAATGCTGAATAGAATTGTGTTTATTTTATGTAAAAAATATACTAAATTCAGTTTTGATGTATTTCATATTGCTTAGCTGAACTATGCAGATAACAAGTTGCAATAATTTGGCTGAAACAAATAACTCGATCCACTCATGAAATTTAATAAAAGTGATGAGATTTTGGTTTTTCATAGACTCCTGACTCCTGTATAAAGGGTCCTGGACCCTTTATAAGGGTACTGGACCCTTTATAAGTGTCCAGGACATACCAAAATGATGTTACTTTCATTTCAAGAGTGGGCTGGGTTACCTAATGTGAATAATTGAATGTGTCAAATTTAATGTATGCATGTGTTAGTAGTTTTAGCAGTGCGTGTATGTTATGTAGACAAACTGAAAATGTTATTGTATGGGAGAAAATGCATCGAATGTGTGAAAGTAAAGTGATGGTGGTGGAAAAAAGTCTTGTAATACAGTATTTGCATGTTGAACCGAAGTCATTGGTAATATGTATACATGAGACAAGAGTAAATATGATGGGTCACACTGCCACAACTCTCTCGTCTTCCACTCCAGCTGTGTGTGTGTGCAGTGTGTGTGGAATAAGAATGAATGCAACAATGCTGGAAGTTATTGTATCAGTTTAAATATGAGATGTCCGATTGATAAAAATAATTTGCTCAGTTGAAGTTGAGAGTACAGTACTGATAAGGAAGGAAGAAGCTTGGGCAATGAAAACCCTGGATAATGGAAAACCCTAGAGCAATGAAAAGCAATGAGGATAAAAACAGCAATAAATAATTGGTGTGACTTGGGCCAGGATTCATGAAACATTTATGCAACTTTACAAAAACTATACATCTTTCCTCAGTCATGGCAGCTTAGTTTCATTTATAAAAAGTTTGAGATTGAAAGACTATAAGGCTGTCTTTAATGGTCTCGGGTCAAGAATGACCTCTCGGTGTTTCCAAGCTTGTAAATTGTTTAAGAAATTCAAACTAAGTCACCATAATTGAGAAAAGATGTATGGGCTTTCTAAGTAGATATGCAAATGTTTGATGATTTCTGGGCTAAATGACAACATAAAGTAGTGCTAGAGCTACCTCTTTTGTCCACTTGTAAACAATGGTGTTACGAATATGTTAGAGCAAAAATTAAGTATCTGAAGAATGTGTGGTGCACGGACGGTAAACAGAGCAAGACGCGAAGATGCCGTGGAGAGATGTGGAAGGCAAATATGAATACATCATCATATTGTGAACCGTGTATGGAGACGGTTCACACATGGTGTAGGAATGGAATGATGGTAGACTGGCTAAGTGTATGTTTTTAAGTGAATTTAAGGGTAGGAAGAGGAGAGGAGAGGAAGGTAAGAGGATGAGTTTAATGATGAGGATGCGTTTTCTTCGTATGAGAGAAAGTGGGGAGTGTATATCAACAACACACAATATGGTAAGAGACTAGGTTGGATGGAAGTGGTTCGTAATGAGGGAGTTAATTTATATGTATACATTGTAAAGGACAGTTGACAAGAGAGGCACTGTACAGCTGGTCTTGTGAATCATTATTGTGCTGCTGTGGATGACTACTGAAATTTGGTGGTGTTCGGGTCTCCTGTAATGCTATATACAGTATATTACAGTATTGTAAATTATACAATAAATAGACTAGTGATGTTTATTTTTTAGTTCAGTATATAAATTTTGGTATAAACTATTGTTTATCTTTCTCAAGTCTCATATCCCCCCCACCTTACAAAATAGGAAAAGTGGGCAATAAAAAGTTTAGCTAATATTTTGAGCTTAATTTAACGTTTCTATTTGCAGGTCTGGTGAAGCGTAAAGTTTTAGTATTAGACTTGGACGAGACGCTCATTCATTCTCACCATGACGGTGTCATTCGGCAAATGGTAAAGCCAGGCACCCCACCAGATTTTGTACTAAAGGTTACGATAGACAGACATCCAGTGAGGTTCTTCGTCCACAAGCGACCACATGTTGACTTCTTTTTGGATATAGTGAGTACCTTTTTATTTTGTAACACGGTGTCTGTGGTACCATAGGATCATTCTCCCCTTCTTTCCTTTTACAAATCCTTATTACAGAGTTTCCAGAAATTTATTTTGTGCTTTAGACCCATTTTATAAAAAGTCATTATTGTTTTTCACTGAAATTGGTTATTCATGGCAACCTTTGACTTTTTTTTTCCTGGGGGGAGAGCCGTCGGCTCCCAGGCTGATACGGATATGTTAGTTTTCTGGCATCAGTCAGTGTGCATGGAGTTCTTGCCTAGTAGAGACCACGAGCCAGAACCTGGACCCCTCAGAGAGGCACGAGGAGCAATGGCCCATAGAAACACCCCGTGTGGTTGGGAGTATTTTATGTCTGCCATCGACCGGGTCTGGCACCCAGAAAGGTAGGCGCCCCAAAACAAACCCCTATTCTGGTGAAAATATTACTACTGAAAACCGAACCAGTGGACAGAACTCCCCAAATGAAAATAAGCAAACTAGTATAACGTCATCATGTTACTGTGCTGCTGTCTGTGTACCCCCTACTCGGGAGGGGAAAGAGGGAGCCCAAGACCCTCACGCCGGTGATCCACACCCTCAGATCTTGGCTGAACTGTTGCTGGCAAGGTCGACGCCGACTCGTTAAGTTGACTCTGCTGGACGTTCAGGACTCCGGAAGTGGATCTCTTCACGTCGGTGAGGTCGAGGCATCTCCCGGTAAACATGGCGCCCTTCCTCGACTGCGAGGCCGTCAGGGGGTCAACGCTTTCAGGCAGGACTGGGCGAGGTGGGGTTACCTGTACCTTTTTCCCCCAGTTCAGCTGTTACTCCAGGTCCTGGCTCGCTTGGAGACTTACCAGGGAAAAGTTGTCCTTCTGCTGGGCTTGAAAGTTGGCTCCTTGGTGGCTGGCCCAGCCTTGGTTTCAGGCGCTGCTTGCTCGGTGTTTGAACCCGAGGGTCTTCCCGCGGCTCTGCCTCTTTCAGCAAAAGGAGACGAGAGAGATACCAAATAATATACACATGGAAATTACTGGAGGGCCAGGTCCCAACTCTACACAGTAAAATAACAACGTACTGGAGTGAACGATATGAAAGAAAATGCAAAATAGAACCAGTAAAGAGCAGGGGTGCCATAGGCACAATCAGAGAACACTGTATAAACATCAGAGGTCCACGGTTGTTCAACGTCCTACCAGCGACTATCAGAAATATCACTGGAACAACCGTGGACATCTTCAAGAGAAAACTAGACTGTTAACTAGACTGTTTTCTCCAAGGAGTACCAAACCAACTGGGCTGTGGTGGGTATGTGGGGCTGCAGGCTGCTCCAAGCAACAGCCTGGTGGACCAAACTCTCACAAGTCAAGCCTGGCCTCAGGCCGGGCTTGGGGAGTAGAACAACTCCCAGAACCCCATCAACCAGGTATCAACCAGATCGGTCCAGCTCGGTACGAGGCTGGTTTGTTCTTCTCCTCGAGTTTTCGCTTCTAGAGTTGCTGACTCTGGTCTATCATCATTTGTATGGGGCGCAGGTGGCTTCGTTATTGGTCTCCCACCTGTGTGCTTCGTCTCGGTGGCAACATGAAGTTTCCTGGCGGTCCTTCCTGTTTTTCCTATCACTGCGTAGGTGTATTTTGGTCTCTGATAAGGTTGTCCTGTCCTTCCTTTCATGGTTGTTCCAGGACAGTCATGTCATGCGGTACTGGCGGAGCCGCTGCAGCTTGCGTTCAGTATTGATATGTTTGCTCCATTCCGCAAGCTATCTTGTGTGTTGTTTCACCTCCGGCCAGCTCGTATGCCACCTGAGCCGTACTGATCATTGGACCGGGTGCTGTCTCTTCCCTCTCGGTTTGTCGTGGCCCCTTCCACTCAGGATTGTTTCTTTAAGGTTCTTTTTTCCTGTTGGCATTGGCCTCTGGGGGGTCGGGTTGGGGAGCTTCATGCTCTTCTCCGGTGCAGGGGTTTGTGCTCTTTTGGTCCTGGTGGTAGGTTTGCTCATCTGCAGCCGTCTCCTTTTTTTCTGGTGAAGAATGAGTCTGCTGCTTTCCAGAGGGGACCTTAGGTTCTTGATGCTTGGTTGGCCTCGCCGACTCCCCGAAGCTAACTACCCAAAGATAACAGAAAACTTTGACTTACCCGGGAGATGGTCGGTCCTCACCCCTCAACTTGAAGCCGAGACAACTGGCTGCAACAGCCGACCCAATGCAATGCAGGCCCAACAAGGTCCAGGAACATTGACAAGTTAGCGAGCGGCCAGGACCCTGTTCGACCTCCAAAAACCCTGCGCCTGAATATCCACCCAAGACATGTTGCCAAAGATGGCAGCCAAAGCAGCAAACTTAGGCCGGGGGTGCATCATGTGTTGTGTTCTCCGCCGTTATTTGTGCGCCATGGCTTCGGTGGCCGGGGACGCGCTTTGGGTTGACCCGGTTTCCCTCCTTCCCTGTTCCAGGGCGTGGGTCTCCCAGGTCGTCTTCAGGGTTACCAAGTCTAGCCAGCCTGTGGTCTATCCTCATGCCCACAATGTAAGTAAGTTTGCTGCTTTGGCTGCCATCTTTGGCAACATGTCTTGGGTGGATATTCAGGCGCAGGGTTTTTGGAGGTCGAACAGGGTCCTGGTCGCTCACTAACTTGTCAATGTTCCTGGACCTTGTTGGGTCTGCATTGCATTGGGTCGGCTGTTGCAGCCAGTTGAGGGGTGAGGACCAACCATCTCCAGGGTAAGTCAAAGTTTTCTGTTATCTTTGGGTAGTTAGCTTCGGGGAGTCGGCGAGGCTTCCCCCAGAAAACCAGCATTGAATGTAATGAAACGCCATTTTCTGGGTGAGACTCGAAGGCTTCCCGGCACCCTCCCTCCCTCTGGTCAGCAGTACAGTATTTTCGAGTGTTTTGACATCCAGCCTCAGAACAGGGAGTGTGGATTGCCGGCGCAACGGTCTGGGCCTCTTCCTTTCCCCTCCCTGGTGGGGGCGGGCGGTTGCGCAGACAGCGGCGCGGCAATGTAATGTCATGCTGGTTTGCTAATTTTAATTTGGGGAGTTATGTCCACTCGTTCGGCGTTCGGCTTGCAGTAGCAATATTTTCACCAAAATAGGGGGTTTGTTTTGGGGCGCCTACCTTTCTAGGTGCTAGACCCAGTCAATGGCAGACATAGAATGCTCCCAATCATATAGGGGGTTTCTATAGGCTATTGCTCCTTGTGCCTTTCTGAGGGGGCCAGGTTCTGGCTCGTGATTCCCGGTAGGCAAGAACTCCATGCACCATTGACTGATGCCAGAAAGCTAATATATCCATATCAGCCTAGATAGCTCCGGGGAGCCTCCGGGTCTCGCCCAGAAAATGGCGTTTCACTATATTCAACTCTGGTTTTTTGACATACAGTACAGTATATACATTTATTGAGCTTGATAATAATCTGCTTGACCATTATGCAGTGGACCTACAAAATCTGGATAAAAATGTTCTAGACATAATCTTAATCTTCATGAAATCCTGGTTTCCTAAATATTGCCAACCTCCCTTTTTTTAATTAACACTTTCGCGCTTTATATTAGAGATAACTCGTCACTGGTTTTTCTTACGATTCCGCATAACTGCCTACTTTTCTCGTCAATCGAAAAAATATTTCTATAAATTCCATTTTTTAACCGAAATGGATGGGGATACTTTTGTTTTGTAGAGAATTTATTTGCGAATTTTTTTGGTACCAGAATGAATATTATATCACATAAACTTCTATGAGTAAAAAAAAAAATACACAAAGTATGTTTGGGGGTGTGGCGAGCGTGTGGCAGTGGGTTCCCCTTTAGCCGTTGATATATCCAACACGTGGGAAATATTTGTATGTGTTATGTATATGTCTGTGTAGGGAATTTTACTGCGATCACTGTCATACAAATTATAAAATGTTTCAACAAGTATAAACATGACAAACATCAAACGAACAAAAACAATGCGTTCGTTTCTGCCGCGAACGCATACTGAGCGACGTGGTTCTATATTTGGCGCTTCTCTTACACATGCTTTGTACCAATGTTATACAGTTCATCTTATAGGAAATTTTATTGCGAACACATTGGTATAAAAAAGAAATACGTACATAGAAAAGTAGGGTCAGGAAACGTATAAACTTTCCAAGCATGATTTCCCCCCTGTGTTTTCGCCAGTGCGCTCGCGGCTAACTACCTGTACTCTCCACTTCACACACTGTTGCGGGTGGGCAATTACCTATATTAAACATTCATATGCATATGTCCGTGTAGAGAATTTTATTGCGATTCCAATGATACCAAAATTAGCGATGTAGGACAACTGTAGGCTTCGCAACCATTAAGAAAGTGGAAACATTTTGTTGCTGTTTGGCGCTCTCGGCGAGTGATCTGCATAGTTTTTTATTTGGTGTTGATACTCCTTATGCTTGGGCGGCATTTTATAGGTATGCTCTGATAGACAATTTCATTGCGAACACAGTGATACCAAATTTAAATACGTGCGCCTTCAATTATTGTCAGGACAGTCAAAAGAGTGTACACTTTTTCGGTCTTACCGCGTAGGCGCGCGAAGTGCCGAAAGCATCTGGGGTATTGTTTTTTTTTGAGCCCGAGAGCGCGAAAGTGTTAAAGGATGCAGCTGGTGCCTTCTAGAATTGTTGATTCCCACCTGAAAGGCAAAATAATGATGATCGATTATGTTATTTTGCTCTATTTTATTAAATACCACATAAATACATTGCCCAATACCAATATTTCTTATGTCCTCCAAATTCCCCAACCTCTCCTTTGTTTCTTATTTTTGTTGTGGCTTATGCGTCTTGGAGAAAGCTTACCCGTCATTAAGTATGTGAAGTTGGAACGAAACTGGTCAACAAATAAATTGGTCACAGGTGGCAGAAGTTGACTGAATTTTTTTTTAGTCCATTTTTTCACAGATTTCAAACTCGTTTTCTTCGTGTTTCTAGGCTGTTTTTGCTGAATGGGGACCAGATGAGGGCTTTATCACTTATATAA